GATGTACATCTTAATCTGGCCCTCACTTTCAATGCTGGCATTTAAGTTATCCGTGGCACACAAAGCCTCTCTAACAGTGGGGTCTGGTGTGGGGCCCGTGTTTCTAACCATTGAGAGACTGGCCAAATGGCTATTGATATCCTGGCTAAATGGAAAGCCCGCATCCTTGGGCTCAGCAAACAACAGTTTTCCCTGAATGAAAAGACACTTGGAGAGGTCCAGAACACAATTGCCATTTTTACAATTTTGAGCACTCCAAGTATTTTTATGTTCATAGGGGAATGGCCGCTGTTTTATTGGGTGTGCTCGGTTGGCCTTGCCTCCCCCTGAGGGCCTGTCTTCAGTGCCACCTGGGGCCCCAGGTTCAGTCCAATCCCCATCCTCACTCCAGGGTCGAGCCATAGTTTCAATATCAAACCAAATATCAGGCTCCTCCTCATCCAGCTCCTGGTCATCGTCCCACTCCTCTTCCTCCTCCTCCTCCAGCTTCTCACTGTCATCTCTTCCTATGGTCAGTTTGTAAACGCAGTAGCAGGCACCAGCCCCAATCATCAGTCCTGCCGCCATCCAACCCACTTCCCGAGCCCGGCCCATGCTCAAGTCCGTGCCAGCCTTGGGGCAGGACAGGAGAGGGCCTTGCTCCACCTGATTGAAGAGGTCTCTCAGGTCCAGGGTGAGTAAGGATGGAGGGTAGCAGTCTTTAGCTTCTTCTAGGCTCTTGTAGCTCTCTTGTGATGAATCTATGGGTGAAACAGAATATTAGGGCTCGGGACTATGTTTGGCTTTATGCCTCACAGGTGGATTTTGAGTTGGTGAGAAAGGCAGATTAACAGGATATAATTTCTTTGTTCTTTTCTGTCTTCCTCTATGGACCTCAGGAGCCCCCATTTCTCTTTCTGGGTCCACAGGGAAGGGCAGGAGACGGGTCTGTGCTATGATAGCTAGGAGGGTGACAGTGTGAGTACCTCTCAGGTAGTCTCCTTCACCAGACCTCCACTTCCAAAGATTAAGGGCAGTTTCTCTCACTAACCTCTACCAAAGTCAGGTAAATTCCTTGGTTTTCCCTTGTCTTCTGTTGTCAGTGGTCCCTCCACAGTGATAGAGGATAGAGTCTGGCAGAAGGGTAAATGCAAAGACAGGTAGGCGGAAATGGAGAAATGAAAGTGTAGTGGATGGACTGAGGACACATGTCCCAATTTCTGCTTTTGTGAATTTTAGGCACTTGAGTTTAAAAGATTTCTCATACTCTACTGACTTTCCCGACGCAGGCCTCCCCCGCCCCACTTGTCGTCCGCCATTTCCCCAGCAAAGGCCGCCACACCCCTTTCCCTGCACTGAAATGGGAGGGGGTGTGGAGAAAGAAGGGGCCAGGAGAGGGCGACTCGGACCCGGCCCTCTCATATCCCAGCCCCTCTCCTCCGCCACCCCCACCCGTGGTCCTGGGCTAATCCCACCTTCACACTGACCTGCAAGGTTCCAACCAAGGCAGTTTTCTCCTTCTCTTGCTGAGACTTGTGCCGAAACCTACAGGCCAACAGACCTACAAACCTGCAAACAGACAAGGGACCGAGGGGACGGAGTGCTTGGTGGACGGACCAGCACCCGGGACACTGGAACCTTTCTTTTCTCGGAATCTCTGGAAACGCCTTTCACTCCCCTCACCCCCACCCGAAACCCGCCACTTCTCTCTACTAAAATGAGCACAGGGTGGGGTGGGGGTTGGTGGCAGTATTTAGAAAGTAGGCGAGAAAGGACCCAGCTGTGATCGGCCTGAACTCGGATCTGTGGCGTTCTTGGCCCTCTTCCACCCATACCTCCTCTGAAGCAGCGCCCATCCTCGCACCGACCTGCACAGTCCGAGCTAGTTTCCTTCTTTCTTCACACGCCTGCAGAGTAATAGGGGGCTGGTACCCAGACGGAGGCGACTAGCAGGACTTGTGCTCTAGGCGGCTCTTGGTCACGTGACAGCCACGTCACCGGTGCGTTCTGGCCCCCAATTTCCACTCCCACAAGCAGTGCGGCAGGCGCCAGCCTGCCTTGTATCTCCCCCTCAACCCCCACAGTGGGCCCTGTCACTTTTTTCCTCTGTAACAATACCAGAAACCAGAAATGGCCCTGTCTTTCTGGTGTTTCAATTTGTGTTTCTCTAATTCCAGGAAGGGGCAGCATCTTTTCCTGGGTCTACCCTTCACTTACACTTCTTGGGGAATTGTCTCATCCTTTCCTTGGCTCTGGAACTCCTGCAGCCCCTTTCTTAAATTTCTACCCTTTTCCATGTTCAGTCTCTGTCTGCATCAACATTGGGGGAAGGGGCAGAAACGGAAGTCCAGGCAGTGGTGAGATTTTAATTAGTATTTTAATAACATTTAAGTTATATTTTGTCCTTTCTTTTTTATTGACTTGAACTACACTATTTTGTAATCGGAAAAAAAAATAAAGCTTTTCCCACTTGGAGAAGAAATAATTCAAACCTTTTTTTTTTTTTTTTTACAAAAATTTATATAACATAAGCAAGATTTCCCAGTTAAGAGGGAGGCCTCATTGATTTGGTGAAGTTAGTTTGTGTTAAGTTGAAAATATTTTCTTCTGACTGCACAGGAAATAGCAGCTTTCAAACAACATATTAAAATGAAAAACATACCCTTACAAACAAAACCAGTTGTGCTTTCAACATGATTTATAAATTGATGGACAAATGAATCTATACTGAGAAGGTCAGTGTTCTAATTTTGACCATTTTAAGTATGTGAACTATTGTCCCTTTCCTTCTCCTGGCTGAACTCATAGTATTAGGTGTAATATGACTGACATCTTCATAGAAGATTGCTGGGTGACTTTCACTCTGGCTTCAAAAGACAGATTTTTTTGCAAACCCCAACTTCAGAGGAATCTTACATCTTCAGATGAACTTTACAGATTAGTGACTCCACAGATTAGCCTGCCTTTAATTCACAGGGTTTTATTTAAAATCTATTCTGAAGTTTGTGGTGCAACCCATAAATCACCCAGAAATTAGATAATTTCTTGTTATCCTATTGATGAAAATGAGACTTGAGGTAATTTTCTTTCCATCATGACACTGTTGGTGATCTCGCTGCTGTCTGCCATTCATGTATTGTATGCTACCTTAGCAGTGGTGAGTGTTCGGCATTTTCCAGTGGAGATGGTGGTGAGGGTCTGTGGGTGACTGGGAATCACTGCAACACCCCTCATGTCTGTGTCATTTTTTTCCCTCACAAGTGGAAGGGCAATGCACAGGATCTCAAGCAGTTGCCAGAAAAAAGAGGGCTTTACGCTTCCTGCCTTCTGTTACAATTTCACCGAGCCACCAGTACAAGCCCCTCAGAATAATCCCAAAACTCAGGGACCAAGTATGCAGAAGTTAGTTCTCAAGCATCCACCTGTCCCTGCTGAGGAGTCATACTCTAAATATAGACACTCCAGGCAACCTCTTAGAACATTGAAATATGACACCTCAGAGGGCTCCCCAGTGAGGGGCCCCTGTGTGGAGGAGGCCCTTTCAGGAGGCAAGCCAGGGAGTCCTAGTGCCTTGCTGGTGAATATTCAGAAGTCAATATGTCACAACTTTCTGGTCTTCCCCTTTTATAGTCCAAACTCACCAATATCACATCTTAATCTCTCTAAATCTTTACCTTATTTGTTTTTTTTTTATGACCCTTTATTTACTTCCCCTAGACAAGTGAATTATACTTATGAAGGCTTACTAACAGAATTCTCAGATTCAACAGTCCATCATTCAGTGTTTGGCTGCTAGGTAGTTGTATAAGTGGCTTTTGTTTGTTTTGAATATATACATTAAAAAAACTAAGGAGTATGTAAAGCTTAATAAAGACAGATGACTTGGTGTCACAGACATGGCTTTACAATAAGAACTTACTTTCACAACACTTAGTCAGGCTTCAAGGACAAAAACTTTACTCCTACCCTCTCCTCACTAGTATAACCTATCTCCACCCTTTTGGTATATTCTCCAGTTAGTCCAATGTATAACTTCTCACTACCATTCTCCCAGTATGCCAGACCTTTCCTGGTTTGAATCCACTCCCTGTCTAAAACTTCCTAAAATCCCATGGTTATAAAAACCCTTTCGATTCTCTTACCTCTTTGTTCTTCTGATCCATGATTCTACCAATTCCTACCTGGAGACTAGCATTAAAAACAAACAAACAAAGAAAGAAAAAACTGCTTTGCTCTCCATTATACATCTACCAACAAATATTTACTTAAGGACATGTTATAAGGCTCACATACCGTTCAAAAGTGAGAAAGGAAAATGCTTACAGAAGTCCTCAGACAGGACTGTTAAAAGTTCCTCAGCCTGCAAAAAACTACTGTGAAACCACTGCCAAAACAAAACTTTTGGCTTAAATCAGTTCACGTGTGATATGTAACTTATAAAGTACCCAGAAACAAAAAAACGATCAGCAAATGGTGACACTAATGGAATTGTGGAGGGTGAAAAAAATAAATTATAGAAGGATGTTATCTTGAAAAGATACTACTTTTTGTATTGTGTAATTTTGGTATTGTGTCTTACTTAAGGTTGTGTGGTTGCAAGCGACATAGAACAAGCCTGGTTAGCTTAAGGAGGAAATGTTGAAGACCAGGCTCATTTCCGAGGGGTTTAGGTAGGAGAAATTGATAGATGTCTTTTCAGGATGTCACAAGTCCACCGGTTTTCAGGTTTTTATTTCTCTGATGAAGATTGAAATTTTAGTAAGACAGCTTTTGGTTGGTCTGTTTTGGGCACAATACCCACCCTTTTGCTGAGGAAAACAATAGGGTATGTAAAATGTAAAATGCACTTCCTTTCTTTTCCCAGGGAGAAATTTAAACTGTTTCAGATGTTGTTGTTGATTTGCAGGAGCCCTTTAACCACTTTGGAAATTAACCCTTTGTTTATCTATAACGGAAGTGCTGGGGGCATAATATGCCACAGAGTATCTTAGTTGTAATTTCCACCATTAACTAAACATTAGAAAGGTATGGTTACGAAATGGTGATGCACAAGGTTGTCTTTTGAGCCAAGGCCACTTGGCTTCTCCCACAGGATTCCCACAAGGTTGCGTCTGTAGTTCAGGGTCTCTTCCTCAGTATTGCATGACCAAATCCTGATTTTGTTTGTATGCTGAGAAGAGTTGCCTCTGGGTGCCTCAAGGAAAGTCTCCCATTCATAGAGACTTATATATAAATCGATCTGAATGCTCAAACCTAGGGATCTCTGCATTCTCTCCCCATAAGTAGACCACAAGGGAGGCTGTTTCAACAGGAGTGACAACTGAATAATTTGCCCTGAGAAATACAACTGTCAGGGGGTACTGGAAGTTTCAGTCAGTCTTACCTGCCCATTCTTTCCCTGTAGACAAGCTACTACTTCGGAAAACACAACCTTCGAAGGTTGTTTGGTGAGCCTGCAATCAAAGCGAGGGTATTTGTTCATCTTAAGAAGGGAGTTTCAGCTGAGGAAGCATGAAGTACTATTACACATCATGGGCATGACTCTGCCAGAGAAAGTGAAATGTTCCATTCTCCTTAGCCAACACTTTTTCTCCTCCAGACAGTGCTTGGGTGGGAAATACCAACACTTTCTTCTGACTGTCCTTTTCATATGTTCCTATGCTTGAATGAGCCCCTTTGCTACACATGATCTTTCTCTAAACACAGGATCATACAGTTGATTTGGTTTCTGTTTACTAAATAAATTTCAATCACATTCTAGTACTGCCTCCCAGAAGTTACATAGATATGAATTTTCCTGGGGGTTTGCCTGTTCTCAACCTCCTCAGTCTCTTGATTTACTCCCATATTGTCTGGGTATTTTAAAAGTTATACTCAAATAATAACCTTTTATTCAAACTATTAAGGAATATCTCACTGAAGACCCTATGTTCTGAAAAGCTATATTACTTTTTGTATTGTTACCTGTTTTTGTATTGTGCTTTAGTTAAGATTGTTTAGTTGCAAGCCACTGAAATCAAATCTGGTTAACTTAAATAATGAGGGGATGTAGTTATTTTATTCCTTTTCCTACTTTAAAAAAGTTAAATCATTGATGATGGGTGAATTATTCAGCTTATCAAACCAGTGAGTGAAATAGTTTCATACTAATTGCTAGTTTCCGGTTTCAGCCAATTTTGTCTTGGTCTGTGTTCCTCTAATACTTATTTCATTTATAGATGATACTATCTATTTTGACCAAGTATATTTTGTAATGTTCTTTTTATGCACACTCATTTTTTCAGTGTGCATGCTTTATCTCACAGATACCTACTGTGCACTTATGTTTTCTCCTCAGGTTTTTTTTTTTTTTTTTTTTCCCTGCGTTCTGGCTTTTGTGGCTTTAATGCTTCCACCTTGCTAATGGGTGCAGGTGAAAGTCTGTAGCTCTCCTATTTAGAAGACTGGTCTAGTCAGAGGATTTACATATTGCCAGACACACTGATTAGCTCATTCAGGGCTGTGCTGTGTGCTAGGCCCCAGAAGACATTAAGATTGCTTTGAGTGAAGTGTGTAACACTCACCACCAAGTGAGAAAATGTGGGACTTTTGGAGGCCATCACCCAACATCATTCTCCAGCTTCCACTCATTTTTTTCTAAAATGGAAATAGCTTTATAGTATTTTTTTTTTCTCGTAAAAAGAATGCAGGCTGGGGGCGGGGGAGGACGGAACAAAAATAACAAAGTATTAAGAAAGTAAAAGCCACACTCTCATTCCAGATTTTCTTTTCCGATCGCTTGTTCCTTTCAGGTCTGGGACTAGATTTCAGAGGAAATGGTAGACTTTAATAGCTCGGGGGAGGGAAGGTGGAGGGAGAGGCTGCTGTCCCAGGAGCCTAGGGAAGGAAGAGGCAATTTTTCATAAAAAGTACAAGTGGCCCGTAGCCCCAGGGGAAGATGTCGTCCCTTTCTGGTAATCGGTGGAAGGGAAACACAACTACAAGG